CTTTCCAAAGAAAAAAATAAACCGACCTTCTTGGATGGCATGCTTTCCCTCTCTATTCAGCAGCTGGCATCTCCATCTTGGTTCTCACCTTCAATTCTATAACTAGACCAAGCTTCTGTTTTCCTTCCTGACATTTCTAAGTAGCAGCTGCCTATTATACTGGGTCCAATCATTCAGTCAATTACTCTGGCAAAATGCCCACCATGGACTGCAGGATTGGTTCTCCTCTCCATTGTACACTGATGTGTGAGTACTCAGGCTATAAACAGATGTTGCCAAATTAAGTGGATCAGCTAACCTGGGATGTGCCACCCATTGTCCAACAGGGTCAGGCCTCTGCTGCTCCCAGGAGTGGCAGGGGACCAATCCTGCAGGACAACACTTGGGGCACACTTCTGAAAACGGGAACCCTGGGTTTCCCTACCAGCATAGGCATGTTCTGAGTCAGAAGCCCTGGGTGCATCCCTGCAAATGGGGAAACCTAGGCAGGCACTCCCAGGGCTTTGGAGGCCCAATCCTGCATGTCCTGGGAATTCCTGAGAGGAATTCCTGGAGGGCACACAGGATTTGGCCCCTGAAGCCCCAGGAGTGCCTGGCTGGGGCAACTAGGGAGTGCAGGCAGCCCTGGGCTGCCCACTCTCTCCTGGCTTAAAACAATTAGATGCCAGCTGCAAAATAGCAGCACAAATTAATACTACCTGTTTATGGCTACAAATTTGGACATTTGTAGTCCGACAAAGGGTATGGATGTCCATTTGCTTTTGCTTTGTGCCACCATAAAAATGCTTATAGTAGCCCAAAGGTGATGACTGTTTGCAGCCTCAGAAGAAATAGCCGGCTCAAGAAAGCATCATATACACAACAGGATAAAGTATCTCCAGCCACAAAAGGCAATCTTGTACTATGGGCAGGCTGCTGTTTTCTCCAGCCAACAGTATTCTATGGGAAGGTCTCTCTCTCACATCCTCTGTTGCAGCCTCTGCTCACCATTGCTGCTGACAAGTGTGGTGAGCAAGGGTTAGGAGTGGCTAATTCAGTGGTGCCAGTGCATCCAAGCAGAAGGGGGAAGAGGGAGTAGGAGGTGAGAAAGCAGTCTTCCCCAGGGAGCACAGGGGCTGGAACTAGAGCAGCAGCAGATTAGCTGGCTGTTAGTAAAGCGCAGGTTAAATCAGCGGAAGCAGGGAATCAGACAGCCTTTTCTAAAATACAGACTGGATCAGACTTTCACAGGCTGAATCCAGTCTCTTGGTGGGCAGCATCCAGCCCATGGGACATAAGTTGCTGATCTCTGATTAAGGTATGTTTATATTTCCATGTATAGCTTGGGGAGATGTTTGCAGACACATTTGCCAAAGTCACCTGCAGGGCCGCACATAGCCCAGACCTATGTATCAGCCCAGTAGCACATTTACAACTACCAGCTCTCAGACTCCTCTTCCTATCCATTCCAGCCAGTGGCAAGCTATGGATCTAGTGTTAATAGATGAATATTACAAGCATAGAAGTAAGGCAACACTCTTGCGAACAGCCCTGAACCCTGCATGACATTGAAGCAATAGTGGCTTAGGAATCGTGATTTACCTCCGTGTGACTGCATGGCCACAAGGAACTTCCTGCAGGATTAGGTCTCTGTGGAATGTAAGCAAAATATTCACAACAGTGCTATCCCCTAGCCTTCAGAAATCATGATTCAAGCCTAATTGGTTTAGTTTTAAATGCAAGCTGAGATTCTCTCAGAATCACTTGACTCTAGGAGTTGAGATTTTAAGAAAAGCACCATATATTGTGAGACTTGCTATAAAATCCTTGGAGTTAGCAAGGATGTGTTGTTTAGTTGTCCACAGACAATACTTTACTACACTGTGCTTCTCCTTTGAGAGGGGTGTCTGGGAAAAAAAAAGAAAAGAAAAGAAAAAAAAGGGCATAGTAGTTACATGTTTGTGTTTTCAATAATTTCAAAGCAACATTAGTCAGATTCCTAGAAGTGTTTTGGATACATCAACTCATATGTTTGTGTCCCTTAAAGCTAGGGGCACAAACTCAGTTCTTTTCTTTTTATACTTCATCATCAACTAGGCAAGCTCAGCAGGTGAAATTAGTCTCTTAGTGCTGTGGAATCATGATTGTCTTCAGACCAGGAGGGGGCTGACAACTGTGCAGCCTAATTGCTATCACCGGGTTTGCACAGGCATGTCTGATTGGAGCATAGTAAATAATTCTCTTTATGATACAGAAGGAGGAATAAAATTCCTTTGAGTCTCTCTGAGCTTCATCTTTAGTTTGAGGAGAAAAGGAAAGGGGCAAAAATATAGTTGCACCACTAATGTAAGTGTTTATGATTCTCTATATGACCATATGCAAGAAAGCTGAGCTGAGAAGATAAACGTACCATTTTTACAGACTTTTCAAAGTAAATTTCAAAATCTACACAAGTACACAAAGTCTACTGTTTTTGGATAACAAAGGATTGTTAACATTTTTATCTGTATATCTTTCCTATGTCTGCAATGCTGGGCTAATTGTTGCTAAATGTAAATTGTTACCAATTTACTTATCTCTAATCTGTGATACAGCTTCAGATGAAAGTGTAATTTTTCTCAACTCTCATATATACTATCTGAGCAGCCTTGTGCCATGAATATAAAGAAGAGCTGTTTTCTCCAGGTCCCAGGGTTGTTCAATATGGAGTTAGATGGTATGTGGTGAAAAATGCAATAGAGCCAGCCATTGAGCAGTGAGGATAAAGATAAACACTAAACAATCAATCCATTTGTTTTGCATCATCCATCTGAAGCACTGAATGAAGCAGAGGTCCCTTTGAAAAACAGCGGGCAGTCATAATTAAAGACTCTGTATATAAAAACAAGGAGGGCTCAGTGGTCCTGTTTATTTATTTGGTCTATTTTTTTACTCTGAAGAGCTATTGCCACTTATCACGTTATCTCTTAGTTTTTCTTGCACAGAAAAAACCAAGTTTCATCAACTGTCTTCAGTCGTAAAGAAATGGATCTCATCTCTGATTTAGTTTTCGGTTTGTGATTTGTCATCTGTTATGGGTCAATATTCCATGTTTGCTCTGTACTTGTAATTTGAGCCATGATTTAGTCTGAAAAATCTGTGCATTTATGAATTGTAAAAAGGACCAATTATTTTACCAATCTAAGGAATGCATCTTCCTGCAATGATGGAAGATGTGAATTCCACCACTTATGCTGTAATGAAGGTGCAGTGTAACCCAGTGTCCATCCTTTTCTTAGAGGTGTCTGGCCACCTGTATTGACTGACACCTTGTGTCCTGGAGAAATACCATTGGAATTCACTCTTTTATAATAGGATTCTCAGTATACAATGTTTCTGATTAACTCCACATGATTAGGTTAAAACCCTCTTCTGAATCTGGAGAGAAAATATCCTCAGGAAAAGCTTCAAAATCAAGGTCCTAATTCATGACAGTTCCTTGTAGATGAATTCCCCCAAACATTCAGTAGTGCCTCATGTTAGTTTCAGAACTTTCTGCATAGAGAAGTACTGATAGTATCAAGGTATAAAGAAAGAAGTAATCACTTTAGAGGCTGGAAAAGGGGCAATTAGATTTTTCTTGGTAAAGCCAATGCTTTTTTGCTCTAAAAAATTCTGTTTTGCTCTTTGTTTTTCTGTGGCCTGAGTAATAGGAGTTTTATTGGGTACGACTGTAATGTATCTGACTGTTCTGAACCACACACAAACACTGTCTATGTTACACCTGCAGATCTACTCGCTTGAAATATTTGTAGCTCATTATTATACCATGGGTACCATGGCTGAATCCACACAAGGATATATGTGTTGCAATACTAAGCACTGCAGATTTGTTCAGTCCATTCACAAAGGCTGGCGATGCTGAATAGGAAACACCAAGGATGTGCACTTAAGAGTCACCTCTCCAGAACTTACTCTGAGGTACAGAGAATCATTTATTTCAGACTGGGATTTGCAGCCCGAGACCAGTCCTTTAGTTAGGTGCTTATGCTAGTCCTTTCTGACACAGGTGGGATTGTTACCCTTTTATCCCCTTGCTCAGTGTTTAGGGGACTCACCCATGGTGTAGAAGACTAGAGAAATTTGAACCAGCATCTTTTGCTTCTCAACAGAATGATTTAACAATAAAGCCATATAAATTCCTGAAGGGTAAGGTTCTCTCTGTCCCTTCTCTTGAAGTTTTTCCACATTAATTACATAGTTAATCCACATAGTTACATATTCCTTAGACCAAAGGCAGGGAGAGAAGAAAAATCCTCACTACACTACAGGGTCATTGCCTTCAAGAGAATGGGGATGTCTGGGTTGCAATCCTGCTCTGATGAAGGTTCAAGAATTTTAGATAAAATATTTGGTGGAGCAGCTTTCGAGGATTTCCTGTCACTCTAAACCTCACTTTCTCTGTCTCTGTGTTCAGTGACTATTTAGCTGAGTCCATGGCAAATGGAACAGCTTCAGGAGAAAGGTTTGGTAAACACACCCCAGCACAGAGCACCCTGGAGCTCGGTGCTTAGAGCTTCCCCTTGGAGTTGGCAGTCTTGTGTTCAAATTCTCCTGGGCAGAAGATGCACTGGAAGCTACGTCACCCCTAACTGCCTAACTGACCTTTTGGATAAAGAAATGGTGCCCCTCTGCCCCTTCCGTGCTTTGTGTGGGGCCCAGTCTGATACGTCCTCTTAAGAAGGACATGGCAGAGGATCACTTCGTTTGTGGTTTCTAATGGGACTTGAGCAGTTCCAGGCATGCTGAGCAACAGACATTTTAAGCTTGCCGAAGGAATCCTACTGATGAACATTGGGTGCCTATGGATTTTAGGCACCTCTGGGTTTAGGCAGCAGCTCGGCTCTACTTTTGAGCCTTTACATTTTGGCTTTAGATGTTTATAGGGCAGTTAGTATTAGATGCCTCAGATCTTTTGTGGATGCATATCCCTACTCAGAGACCGTCAGAGTCTTTAGGAAGCTTTAAGTCCTTCTAGTAAGGCAGTGACAAGGACTGTAAGGGTCTCGCATCTCCACTGTTTTATTTGTTTTTTATTCAGTTTGTAGCACTGGTAGCATCCTGGGCAGAGGAGCAAGTCTTAATTCCACCTCCTTGGATTTTACTCTCTTTTTGTCCAGCCCCCTGGAAACCACAACTCGCACTGAAGTCAGTACAAGGTTGGCCGAGACAAAAACAGAAAGTCTCAGGCTCTATTCTAACGCTGTGCGTGGAAGTGGAAATCACTCCACTGCAGAAAGCCGGCTCTCAGCCTATAGTCACACAAGCCCTTTTCAGCATAACTGGGAAAAACTCATAATACTGTTAACTCTCTCTCTCTGCCAAATGTTAAACAAAAACTGCAGTTTGGAGGTGACCAAAACTATTCATAAATTTGTTTTGAATTCAAGTAGTGGTTTTGGCTGAGAAAAGGGGGGAAATTCAGTAAAAAATGTCAAAATGAGACATTTAAAGAGCTATTGTGGCATTTCAGTGCAAACTTACATTTTTATTTCCATATCAACTTAAACAAAGTTTAAAAAAACAAGAAGAAAAGCATGAAATAATGGCTAAATGACAGTTTTTATTTCAAATCTGTGAAACAGTCTGTCTGAAATAAATTTTCCCCAGTGTTTTGCTCTGACAACTGAAGCGAGAAAATCTATTGTTCTTGCAGTTGACAGGAATAAATGGCACATGCAGGATCTGCCCCGAGTTTCCTGCTTCTCTTTTAGCTTAACTGGCTGGCACAAAACTGACATGGCAGTAAAGGGCAGGGTAGACACCTGGCAAACATGTTTTTGGAGAACGCTGCCTGTTCTTGGCTGAACTCAAATGTTCGTGGCAGACATTTGCCCTGGAACAAACCTCTGCAGAGTGTCCAGATCATTGTTTCCAACTGTGGGAATCACTGGCCAGCATGAACCACAGCGAGGATGAAGCCTCTAGCCCAGATACAGGTGTGTAAAGGCAAAACCTGGCTGCAGCAGGAGATTCTGCCCCCCCAGCCTGAGGGTTTCAGCCAGTGCCTCAGCTTTCTCCTGCCCTGCAGCAGCCGTGGGTGGGGGATTAGGATCAGACACAAGCGATGCAGTATGGCCTCAGGCTTTGCTCTTTCCCCTCAGGTGTCCAGCTCCCCCCTCCGGGCCCCCTGGACATGTAGGGACCACCACAGCTGTGCAAAGTGGCTCCTCAGGGAAGCCTAGCACCCAAGCTGGTACGGTGGGAGCTCCCTGCCACCTTATTCTGGCCCCTCAAAGCACTGTCCAGCCAGGGACAACACCCCCATACCTCCCATGGCCTCACCCCAGTCCCTGAGGCCTGCAGGGTGGAGGCCGGCTCCAAGGAATGCCGCAGGGCTTGCCTTTGTGCCCAGACATCCCGCCCCACAGTCACAGCCATCGGGGTGGGCGCTCAGCAGCGCTGCTCGCTGGGGCCAGCGGGCAGCAGGTCGCAGTGGCCGCTGTAGACCACCACGCCAGGCGGGTAGTAGAGCAGCTCGGACGGGGTGGCAGGGGGTGGTGGAGCAGCAGCGGGCAGGGGCACCAGGGCAGGCAGCGCCTGCTCGTCAGGCTCGGGCTTGGTCGTGAGGGTGAAGGGGCGCATGGAGGTGAGCGAGGGCGAGGCGAGGCGCCACAGCAGGTTCTTGAGGGCCTGGCGAAACTCCCGCCGCATGAGGCAGTAGAGCACGGGGTTGAGGCAGCTGTTGCAGTGTGCCAGGCACACGCTGACGGGGAAGAGGTAGGCCTGCGACAGGAAGTAGGCAGGCCCGAAGGGCACAGCGTTCAGCTTGACCAGGACGCCCCAGGCTGTGAGCGCCTGGTTGGGCAGCCAGCACACGAAGAAGCTGAGCACCACCACGCTCACCGAGCGCGTCACCTTGGCCGAGCGGCGCTGGCCCGCGTGGCGGCCGCGGAGGAAACGCACCAGGCGCGCGTAGCACAGGCTGATCACGCCCAGAGGCACCACGAAGCCCAGCAGCACCTTCTGCACCTGGTAGAGCCCCAGCCAGAGCTGCACGCGCGCGCTGGGGCTGTCGGGGAAGCGCAGCAGGCAGAGCTCCTCGCCGAAGACGTTGGCAGTGGTGGAGAAGATGGCGTGGGGCAGCGCGGCCACCACGGCCAGAGCCCAGATGAGGGCACAGAGCCCGCGGGCGCCGCAGCCGCAGCCGCAGCCGCTCCTGGGCTGGCTCTTGAGCACCGATGCCACGGCGCGGTAGCGGGCCACGCTCATGGCGGTGAGGAAGAAGACGCTGGCATACATGTTCATGGCCGTCACGTATGACACCGCCTTGCACATGACGCGCCCGAAGAGCCAGGTGAAGTCCAGCGCGTTCTCCACGGCCCAGAAGGGCAGCGTCAGCACGAACTGCAGGTCGGTGGCGGCCAGGCTGGTCACGAAGAGGTTCATGGAGGACTTGCGCCAGCCCCGCTTGCCGCGCATCAGGTGCAGCACCAGCGCGTTGCCCACCAGCCCCAGCGCGCACACCACGGAGTACACGGCCGACACGGCCAGGCGCACGGCGGCCGAGCCGCCCCCCTGCAGCCCCGCGCCCGCCTCCGCCTCCAGCGACTCGTTGCTCCGGTTGCCGCCG